TCCACTCCGGATAAAAATCGATAATTAGCTGGGTATACCGAAACGATTAACTATATAATATGTAAACCGGAAAGTTTATCGCATTATTAAAGTATAATATTCATCGTTTCTTGAAAAGGAAAAACACTTATTAAAATGTTTGTAACAACAAATGATAGCTTTGGTTATAGAAATGTATTTAATATATGTATTTGCTTTAGTTGGAAGTACAAAACATATATTATTATATGCGAAGGGACAGTATCATAAAGCCCATTCATGCAAAGATAACAATATCTACAAATTCATTTTTATTTTCCAATTATTTCAACGGAATGTTAGAGATCATATACTCATAAAATAGTTATTGAAATAGGTAGAACCAGGTGGATCATACCTCACTGAGTAACATTGCAATTTGGTCATCTTATTCATACAACCGCATTTGAATTTCTATATTCCTTCTGTAGTTCTAGTTTCGACAATCTCACAGACTGATTTTAAATATTCCTTGAATCCATCCGGTAAGCAAGATTCTTCATCGACATTGGTTTATAAGGGCCATAGTATGGGCTCGTTGAGCAAAATTATTGATGTTTTCATTACAAATTATGAAATTGAAAGAGAACAAAAAAATAATATGTCGGTTGCAATTTGGTTATAAGAGCCGAGGTTATCAGCGCCACTTAGGCAAAGTAGTGTTATTCAGTTAAAAAATGATACCATTTGTTTCTTTTTAAAGCTGCATTTTTGTCAAATCCAAAAAGAAACAATTTTGACGAGCTCATGATACTCTACATAACATTTGTCATCCTATGTATGTATAGATAAGACTATAATCATAGCCTTATATATTTTACATACAAGAAAATAAAAGTTATGTTGAGGTGGATGTATGGTTGTAGTTCCATATCTATTTAAGACGAATAAAAGCATCGATATCAAAGCTCGCATCTAGAAAGTACTACTTTTTCCTAAACACTAAAATGGTGCTTCACTGATAGAGTTTTAGTTCAAATGAAAAATTGAGCGAGAAACCATAGACCTTTTTTTATAAGGTGTAGATTTAACAATTTAAAAGGTATAGCAATGTAAAAAACGTTAAAATTATTGCCTTAGAATTAAAATAGAAAATAATAAAATATATTTTTATAAATCATACTAAGAATTTATTATCTCACTTATTGCAATATGTGTTAAAAGAGTTATACTTGATGAAGAATAAAGTAATAAAGAAGTCTTGTGCAGCAATATTAAGTCATTTAAGAATATTAATTAGATAGTAAATGTAATATAACTAGTATTCTGAGAGCGTATCGATAAGTTTTAAATTAAACTAAACTAAAATACATTACAAATAAATTTATGTTTAATTTTTTATTTGCTAGACAATAGATTTATTGACAATATGCAATGGTTCCATTAATTTTAAGTTTTAAAAAAAATGGCCAATATGTACCATAAACTGTTTTTTTTTAGTAAAAATTTTTTTTTTGTTACAGTTATACCGGTAGATGCAAAAGATACAAGATACATTATTTGTGTTAACGTATCTTTCAGTTTGAAAACAACTAAAGAACTCGTTTTAGGAGGTGAAGTTCGGTTGCGTCTGCAGTTTTTAATTTATATATTTTTAAAAAGTGTCAAGTTGTCTGAGTTTGATTCATAAGAAACGATGAAAAAACGACGTAAAAATAGTGATTTAAAAATAAATAGTATTTAAAAATATAAATAAGTGATCCTAATTACAAATTTTTTAGAAATTGTTTAGTTTTGCATTTACTTTTGAAGTGATTTAAGATTAATCACTTCAATAACAGATAAATATTTAATCTAATACTTAAGAGTAGACTAAACGGGATAGATGAACAGGAATTAAAGTGTTTGCATTAGAAAGGAGTGTCATAATTGGTTTTTGTATTCTGATGAAAACTTCGTTTCTTACAAAAAACTCGAAAATAATAATATATAAAACTTTCATAAGACCAGGAGTCGTCTACTGTTCAACACATATGTTACAAATATGGTATGTTGAACACATACTTAAGCTAGAAAAATAATTGTTTTGAAAGAAAATATTTTAGGAAAATATAATCATATTCGCCCAAATAACAATATATTAATATATATAATATAATAATTAATATATATTAATTAATAAAGGTAAATAAGTTTTGAACAGATATTGAAGTTAACAGAATAGTGATCATTAAAATAAATATTAATAAAAAGTAGTCCGATCTATGATTACTGATAAATATGATTTATAATCAAAAACTATACAAATTAGTTCACGAAAGCATCATATACCGGCATAAAATCGATTGGTTTTCGATAGTAAGATTAAAGATATAAAAAATATTGTAGTGCAAAGCTTGAAAAATTTAATCTAAAAATCGAAAAAGCTAAAAAGAATTTGTATGGCAAGGTTAGGTCCTTTATGGAATGTAGACACCAAAGATAATTTAAGACGCAAAATTTTATATGATCTTATATTAAATAAATATTTAATATTTTCATATTATTATTTTTTATATCTGTTTAGTTAATAAGTTTTTTATAACTATTTTTAATAAATATTTCGAACAGTGGTTCCCAACCGATGGTCCGGTTGGATAAAAATGGTACGTGAATCAGATTTAACAAATATGGATACATAGCTTGTAGTTGTAGTTATTAATAAATAAGCACAAAAAATTTCCAAGTAATTATATACTTATTTTGTAGCCTATATAATGTACATATGCACTTATACAATTCAATATACATTATACCAGCGATGCATAGTATACATTAAAATAATCATACATTTTATTATTCTTAATCTTTGTGGACCCTACAAAAAACAAAAATATCATAGTGGTCCATGGTCAAAAAAAGTTTGGGAACCACTGCTGTAGAATAATCATAGCTTAAAAGAGTAAAGAAAAAGTAAATACGATTATTTAACTGATAAGAAGAGTTTTGCTTTAAATTTAATTTTCATATTAAATTGGTTATTAAAAAATTAAAAAGTTCACTAATATATTTGATTCTTTTATTAATTATAGCCTTTTTAAGTTGGAATTCAATATCCTATTTTTAAAGAAATTTAAATCTTTAACGAACATAAATTCCCAACAAGAAGGATTTGACAGTTTGTTAATTGGGTTTTAGTTTACACATCCTCCACATATCCCTCATTTACTTACACAGAAAAAGATACTTTAGAGAAATGTACATATGTTGAGAGTACAGGCGGTGGGGTACAAAATTGTCTTTGAGGATTGTATCTTTACGAAGTGTAAATTAAATGTTTTTTTTTATAATAAATAAAATAAATATTTAGTGGAATTCTAATACTCTGCCAACCAATAATTTTTGTTTGTTTAAATTAACAAATAACAATAAGAGTATTTTTAATTTCAAAATTACGGAAGAATACAATGACATCATAGAACTAAACTTATTAATCTTATTACATAAGTGTAATAAGGGCGTTCCTTTCCTATACATATATGCTTTATAAAAGAAGTAGCCTGAAATGCAGAATGGCCTACTGGATATTCATCTCAGTAGCAATACCGATAGTCACTTTGTATTTTTGACAGGGTAAAATGAAAATCTGTCTAACCTGATAGCGCTTTTAAGTATTACACAGTTTCCTATTTCAACTCAAAAAGAAACTCGCTGAGAGCTCTTTGACTATAAGGCATCTTCAAGCTCGAAAGAGACATTAACAGATCATGGAAAACTTATCTTATACTATAATTTTACAGAGGGATATACACTATCATCAAAACTAATTCAGAAATTTTTAGAAATTTTTTAGAATATCAGAGTTGGAAAATAAATTTTTTTATTTCTAAACCGGGCTGTTATATCTGGTTGAAAATTGAAAATAAGGAACAGGAGTGAGAACAAATGACCCAATATTAAAAACATTAATAACATAAAACATAAAAATATAAACTTTCTAAATACGTCTGAGAATCTTTATAATGTAATATCAGAATTGAGTTCGGAACATATTAAATACGATGATAGATGATGAATTGGGTGATTATGTACAAGAAAACGCAAATATGTTCATAATCAGTTCTAAACTCTTCTAAAAACCGACAAAAAGAAGGAAAGTATCTCGAAAAAAGTTATCAGAATATGTGCTTAATAGTGTAGGTCAACGTCAAGCATAATAATTCCTTTTCTTAGCAAATGTAATAAAGCAGGGTGGATTAAGGATTCCCTTTGGCGATTATATACATTACTGTAATTTTAGATATTATACAAGCTAATGTATTCTGACACTAGTGTCTGTTGACGTACATTTTCCGAGTATCTTGTTCTGAACATACAAAAGTTTCGTTACTTAAGTGGCGTTGGTTTGCCTATATTTAACACAACGCCCAAAGTGTGCTAATATTTATATATTATATTTTTATTATATTATATTTATATATTAAAATTAGTTAAACAGTCAAATAGTTATTATATATGGTGTTTTTTCAATATTTAATAGAGGTAAATGTGTAGTAATTTGTGAATGAAGTCAAGAACTACCAATAACTTCCAACTTATGCTTTTTTAAACACAAATAAAAATTTATTAAATTTCTATTTCAGTAACCCAAAAAATCTTTAAAATTTTGCTTTTACTTAAATTTTAAAATTTTTACATTAAATAGGAAAATCTTGAAATATTGGGTTTAAATTTTGGATGCAGTTACTAAAAACAAAAAAAGGAACCATTGTATATGAAAATGTGTGAAAAGTGCATTTCACCAAGTTTAACAACAATGAGATCGCTTATCAGTGCGCCTAATTTACGACATTGATAATGGCCAGATTGAACGCATGTTAATCCGCATTGCAGCAGCAGTAGCAGCAGTCAATGTTGTCGCTTTCGGCTTATTGTCGCTTCTGACCTTAAATTATGCACCAACGTGCAACAGACAACATCAACATCAACAGCAACAATTTTAAGCAATTTTTGACAGTGAATTGTATGCATTAAAGGGTAAATGCATATAAGGTTGCACTTACCTTGAATCAAATTTTTTTCCATCCGTCAATGTACCGGTGTAATGCATGGTGAGTGTGTCACCTGTCTTAGATTTTTGGTCACATACTTCAGGTACACTAACAACGTCAACTTTGAGGTCGTCGCAATGAACGCCCAACACCAAAAGGCACGCAGCAATAAGAACGGATGATTTGAACATTTCTGAAAGAAAAACCATAAATTTTAATAAAATTTATTAAAAATATATAATTTATTAATTTATTTAATTGTGTAGGTGGGCTCAAAAACTTTAACAAATATAATAGAAAATGCCACTTAAGGAAAAAGAAAGCATTTTTATGGCTAAAAATAAATTTCGTTTCAGATATTAAAAATTTTTAAAAATTTTTTCATTTCATACTTTTTAAATTACCAAATATTGTACAATTAATGATTTACCTTTCTCCACATAAAAGGCAATAAATTCATAATCATCAAAAAGAAGAATATAAATTTTATGATATATAAAAAAAAAGTTCAAACAATTTATCAATATGAGATAATAATTTTTAGTTTTCTAAGAAATCATGAATTGATAAAAATGAGCAAAACTAATAATGACGCTTTCACTCTGAAATTGCGGGTGAAATTTTAATTTAAGTATAAATCATTCGCCGTATAATTAGCGTAAAAATTATAAATTAAATATTAATTAAATGACAATTCAAAACAACAATTTGAAATGCTTTAGTTAATTGTATCGTATCGTCAGAGATTCAATTTATCAAGTTAAGCTAAATTAGAGAGTTATTCATTCAATAAGATACATTGGCAAAATACAATCATATGAATAATTCGAGAATTGTATAAGATATTGATATCAAGTAATTGATATGCAGAAAACTACAATTTAAGGATATAATACGAGTTTAAGTCAAAAATTTAATGCAAAAATTCAACCATCAATATCAGACTGAAACTCTATTTTTTTATTATACCCAATAATTAGTTTAGAAATTAATATAATTAATACCTTGCAACTGTACTCGCTATACATATGTAGGAATTTTTTTTTAAAAGAAGGCTTTAATTATTTCAACTATTATTTCTTATTATTATTTTTTCTTTATTATTACTAATTTTTATATTGTGACATCGTTTTAAAATTTATAATGTATAGGAGCGTCTGAGACATTTCATCTTGGAGAGACCCATTTTTTTCCCATTGTTTCGATCATTTCAAACTGTACTGTACGAGTAGTTCTCTCTATTTTGACTTCCAAGGCTAAAATTGATGTCAGTTTGTCTAACGAGACTAATAATTTTAAGCACCTCCACAAAAGTTGATCAGTGGTATCAGAATACACGATCGTGGTGACCAGACACCAGGTTTTTTTTTTTAGGATAAAATTGTATTATCAAAAAATATGACAAATAACATCACTTTGTTGCAACCAAAATCTACACTGTGTTTATGCACTTTTAAAACAAAATTCAAAATCGATTAGCCAATATCGGGCACCATTGGTGTGGACTTTTCTTTTTCCATATATGGCATGTAAACCCTACATACGAGTATAACTCATAAATCCGACACAAAAAATTATATCTTTTAAAAGGTGTTGGTATATGATGATACCAAATGTTACCTCTTGACAAAATCACCAATGTAAAACTGAGCCCCATTGCTCAAGCGCTATATACATTTATTATAGAGCATCAATTTTGGAAATAAATTTCAAATGTTCAAGTTAAGATGGTATAATATAATGAATAAAAACAGCTGTTAGTTGTCAAAATAGTTGTCACTTGGTTGTATTTTTAATTTAAAAATCAACTATAAAATAAACATCCTTTGGATACCAGCGAATTAATCAAAGAAACAATAAAAAACATTTTTAAGAAATTCCAATATATAACCTTCTCTTTCAAAATGAGTAACTATTTCAAACGATAAGGTTTTAAATAACTATTTTAAATTGATAACGTTAAAATAATAAATGTGAAACTAGAACTTTAAATTGTACTCTAAACATTTCTTTAAAAACAAATTTAATTTTAAAATTTAGCAAATTAACAAAACTCCAGAAAAATAAAAGTTAGTCTGGCTTTGGGTCAGTTGGTTATTAAGCAGTGCTGACTCTGAGCTTCAAATTTGACAGGGCACGAGTTCGATTACAATAATGAATAATGGAAATAATTAAATACAAGAATTATTTCCAAGACCACTGATGATGGGTCTTTGGCAATACTTTAAACAGCTGTATGGCCAGCGAAAAATTCAATTAATTAAAATAATATAAAAAAGAATTTTTGTTGTTGTAGTTCACTACTTTTCGAAAAGCTCTTCATTTTTAAATTCTTTAATTTAATTAAAGTTGCTATTCTTTATACAATTAAGACTTTAACTAACGATTGAACATATCAGGTAACCATCACCAAAAGAATTGGTTCTTTCTTAGCTGACATTAGCTGGAATAAAGCTAAAATTGCTGTCAGGTATACTGATGGAACATTTTACCGGTATTCCCATTTCATTAAAATTGGACTGTTTGAAATTAAGAAACAGTTGTTTGTGTGAAGAAACAATGCAATATTTTTTGTGACGCTGGCTGATTCTTAAACAATATTTGGTACTATTAATGAAAAAAGCTGTAGGAAAACTCTTCAAAAACAGTACAGAAGATATTTCAAAATAAAACTCTAACATTATTAAAAAATAATTAAAACAAACATTAGAATTGACCTTACCATAATAATAATTTTATCTCAATGAATAACAACAAAAGAAAAAGCACTAGTAACAATTTTGTGGTAGAATTGGACTTTAATTATTAATTAAATTAAAAGTTCCAGATGGAAACCCACTTTGGGTGATAATTTCGTTTTTATAATTGTTTTTTTTTTGTTTTATTTTTGATTTTAATTTTTTAACGCTAAAATTAAATGCTTTCGAATTTATTTTTATTAAAAATTCTGACAAAAAATAATCTCACCACGAAATTAATTGATGTTAAAAAAATAAAAAGAAAGCAGGGGGAAAATAAGTAGAATTATATATATCTTTCGAAAATCTATACAGTATATATATATATATATTTTTTTTTTAAATGATGGTAGAGAAATAGTTAATTGAACGTTGGGGAAAAACCAAAGTTAGTTTTTATACTCACATTTTAAATATTTTGATAGGCAATTGAAATATATATCTGTTTCTATAATTTTATTTTTTTTTTAAAATCTGGTTATAACAGTTTTAAAATATAATAAAAACAAATCTGAGACAGAAAAAAAAGAGCGACCGATATACGTTTATTTTTTATAGAACTGTCAAATGAAATATTTTTTTTATTTATTTATCGATTTAAAATGCGTATGAATAAATAACTATTAAAAATAACTAGTTGCCTTCACATAAACTAGTAGAATTTCTACTAGTTTTAATGAAGAGAGTTCAGTTTTGGTACTGGTTTTTTTATTTTTTGAAAATTGTGTTAGTGGACTTCCAAAACTTGATATGTAAGCTGTGTGTTTGTAAATATATATAAATAAAAAAAAAATAAAAATATTAACAATAACATGTTTATATAAAGTATGATTATAAAAATTATAAAAACTCCCTTAATTGAATCAAATTTAATTTAATTTTTTACTAACTTTTAACCAAGTACTTAGGGTTTAAATAGTCATTGTCTAGAATTTTTAACATTTCACTTGATGAAAACCGATATGAACCTTACTATAATTACTTTTTTAATGGATTCTACTTCAATTAACTCGTTGTATTACATATTTACATAATATACTATCATTATAAAGTAGTATTATTAACAATACAATCATTAACGCATTAGAAAAATGCATAAATCTTTATGTAATTAATTTAAATCAATTTTTTACTATTTTTACTATTTAAATGATTATATGACACATTTTATATTATGTATTAATTATTACTAATAAAAAATTAATAATAGAGCTAGAGTACTATAAGACATGATTATAAGACTAATGCTTTATTTTTTGTACACAGCAGATCATCCATATACCGAAGAAGGTATAATGAGTAAATTCGTAGAAGACGTACCGATTTTATATATTAAGACTACTAAAGTGTACCATAATATGGTTAATATTCTATTTATTGTACACAGTAAACCATCCACAAACCAAAGGAGTTATAAGAAATACATCAGCAGATGGCACAGTGATTTTTTTCTATTCCATTGATATGGTATCTTCAAAACTACAGATGAACCTTGATAATTTCGTTAATGAAAGAATCAATATAAAAAAAACCAAGTCTGTCCAAGTGAAATTAACCACTAAAAATACTACAATATTTGTTCATATGATTCAATAAATGCTATACTTATAGCCTAGACAGTAAAGACAAAACACTTGGCTATTCAATTGCATAGTAAATTGACCCGGATAATTTCGGAACAGAGTCCTTTCGCATATTTGAATAGCTTATACGAAGCATATACCAAAAAACTGGCAAAAGCCTTAGATCATACATAGGCCAGAAACTAAAAATTTACTAGGGAGAGGTTTTCAGAAAAAATACTAGATCTATGATACTTTCATTTAACATTCAATCATCTCATAATGTATAAATAATGAATAAAAAGCACTTATGTCAAGCTCGAATTGTTATTTTATATTTAATCAAGTAAATTGATGAACAGTAATGTGTTAATAATGAATAGAAATATTTACATATGTAGTTCTTTCCTTCATTTTGGGTTTGGGTGGATGGGTGTTTAGCCTCTCAATAAACACCTCTTCCCATTCACTGGATGATCGTACAGACTTTACAGCATGTATGACATGACTTTTCTAATTTAAATACAAGCATATTATCATCAGTAAAGTTGTTTTAAGAACAGATGGTAAGGGGATCCCAACTATATATTTAATGTAAAAAAATCCGGCTCTCTTTCTAGAGTAATAACATATATTCACTAATTTTTTGAATTATTTCATTTCTATTGCAAAATAAGTTCTTATTTTTTATAAATCACAATTTATCATAAATATTCTAAATTATCTTTCTTTCAAATGTTAACCCATTACGGACAAAGAACTAAAGAACAAAAAAGGATTTTATTTCATAAGGCTTTAATCATATTGAGTTTATATTAAATTAATGTCAGATTCAAAAATAAAATATTAAGTTTTGATTTTGTTTACGGCTTTATCAACTTGGACCTAAATTTAGAGTTTAATTACATATAATAGACTTCTTTTATAATGAAAAATATAATCTCAAGATCTTTCGTTATATGGAATTAATTTTTATTTAGAGAGAACATTTGGGTATAATTGTTATTTACAAATATTTGTGGCTTAACTAACAAATTGACTCAAACTGAGAATTTAAGTGCATACAGTAGACTCTCTCTATAATGAAAGATATAATGTCAAAACCTATTGATATTTGGAAGGAATCTTTATTCAGAGAGAACATTTTGGTACAAGTTTTATTTACCAATTTAAGTATTTAATCATATGCAATTTAAAGGTTAGACTAAGAACTTACTGTACTTGTTAATCCAAGATTCTGATGAAGGAATTTATTTATAATAAAAAAATTAATATATCGCATTGGTAATAAAAGTAGATTGTGGAAATTAAGGAAAACTATCAAACTGATCAATAAAAGTAAAAAAAACATTTAAATATGTTTTTCTAGAAGACTGTCTAAAATTTCTTATGATTCATCAATACAAGGTCTTATTTTAGTTAGGTAATATAACTTTTTGTTTGATCGAACTGTGTTCTTATACAAGGTGTTTCCTGAGAAAATTGAAACTGTATAGGGCGTGATATCTCAGTCCAAGCAAAAAAAAAACAAAAAAATTGTGTGTTAAGAGAAGACAATTTTAAAAACAACCGAGATAGAAAGGTGTCAAAGACCTAGCAGTAAAAATACATGAAAGTTGTGATCTTAACTTAAAACAGCGGCATAAAAACAGGTTTCTAACGATAAAAAAATTTTATTTTAATTAATCTATTAAAAAGTTATTGAAATGATATTTTTGTATTAGATTGTTTTATATTCAAGGAAAATCTTTATGCAAATATTGGTTTAAAATCGAATATTTTGAGTGCAGATTGGTGAATTTCGAAACGCAGCATTTGCGTGACAACTCAATCAATCGAAAAATGTTAAAGATGCAACAATAAATTTCCCGATGAAATGTTTTATTTATTTTCACTAGAGTGTTAAACACATCATTTCACTAATTGAGCCATTAAAGCGATGATCTTTAGATACAAAACCAATTGCAATAGTTTGCTAACGTTTTCATTTTGTATTAACAACTTTTGTTGCTTGTACCGCGCCGCGTCATACGATAAACAAAGCAACGCAACGAATTTGGTACGTCGGCAGTCAGAGGTTAATGACCCTTAAACTGATTTCAGTTGATCGTGATGCTGCGGTAAGTTTGAATAACGTTAATTCATATGAAATGTTTTGTGACCGCTTTTTGATGCCGGAGATAATTTTTTTTACAGATTTTAGAAGAAAACTGGGTAACAAATGAGTTAAGAAATATTTTTAGCAATTTTTCTTTTGTTGCAACTATGGACGATTATGATTCTTCTTCTTACAATAACACATTGTATGATTTTAATAAATTTAAAAATAAAACTAGTTTACATATCAATATGTTATATTTACCTATATATAAATATACATAATCTATTATTTAATATAACTGATCAAGTTAGTAAAACTCATGCTCAGTATATGTACAGAGGAGTGCGAGGAAACTTTTAATGAATGGAAATGAAAAGAATATATTAAAGCTCAGACCTAATTTAAACCTTTAAAATATGAACACGTCAAGTAAACTCTATTAAACAGATTATGAAATTTTTTTTTAAGAAAATGTGAGAAATAAAGTTTATATTCACGGAATGGCTACATTTATGTTAATGTAGTATTCAATTTGATATTACTGGGATATAAATAATTTTTCTTGACATTGGACTACACTATTAACCTACACTATTAAGTAGTTTGGAAATTTCTTCTCCTCCCATTTTCTGTTGATTTCATTTCAGAGCCATTTTGTGACTCTATTCATTTAATACCAATTATGGATATACTTACACGTATTTCATTGGTTATTTATAATAATTAATAATAAATAATGATAATAATAAATACTGAACAAGATGATTCAACAAATACAAGTAAATTAGATTATTACTTAAGTTTTGATTTACTCAAGTAATTTTACTACTTGTTTTTTTATTTACGGAACATTTCTTCGTTCGCATGTGTTCAGGAAAGGACACGAATTGGGGATAGAATCTCGAGGAAAGGCATGACTATTGCAGGAGACGATTAAAATCAAGTAAGAACCACTTGATACTGTTTGAAGTATAACTGGTAATGAGTGATTTTCGCATGCGATTTAAATTTGGTACAATTGGTGCCAAGGCCCACAGTTTCGATTGTCCTGGCTGAAAGAGGTTGACCTCTCTATTTGAGAGGTTGGTTAACAAATACTAATAGAGGTTGGCTCCACTGTGTGAGAGATTGGTTAATGTGAGTATTGTGGTGGCTGTAGTTAAAACCCAAATTTATGCAGTTAAAATGACTGTACCCATTAGTTTCATTCGATGTGGAGTCGCATTTTCCAACCGAATGCTGTGGTCCAAAGAACAGCAGACGTGTTAGATAGACTTCGCTCTCTCCTAAGGAGAAGACTATATGCAAATGAACGGTTTCAATTTATACAGGCGAAATTCCTTGAAATTCGAATAGCAGTATACTGATGCGTCTGTTAAGTGTACCGTGGTTAAACGGCAGATAATCACTATAAAAAACTATAGATTCTGTCTCCCTTTAACTAATGTAAAAATATATATAGTCGCATTAGGAAAACTCGCCTAGTACTGATTGTATTTCTAGAATCAAAATGTATTTCTTAAGACAAGACAAATGTAAACAATAACAGATCTATTTATTATAAAAAACTTTATTTGCCTTTAAACTATTGAATTAAAATCGCAATATTGTTCATGTTATGATAACGAACTCATAAAGTAGTTCATTAGTGTGAACTTGAATGAAAAAATAATTTATTTTATATAAGCATGCTAAGCTGAAGTACCCAGCTACTTAATTATCTTTGATGACATTGTCTTCAAGGCTGCTAGAGGACATCGTTCGACAATTGTTGACATAAGTAGATAATTACACAAACAACAACATAATCTTAATTTAAATAGTAAAGAGAAAGTGAAAAGAAAACAACAAAGACCGAGCGCACATTTTACTCGAACAAGGGCGCAGTACAAGATATGGCCGTATCCAATCTTTTTGGTATGTCGAAAGGCTTTTACTCACTTTTTTTTTTTAAATGTGTTTAAAGACCGTATACAACTGGTCTATAGGTAGGTCTCCATCTCTTGAAGTTGTCTTCGATGACATATCCATTTGCTTCTATTTCAATACATTTTTTGAGCTTCTATCTATGTTAATGTGAATATATACCAGAAAATATTACGAATCTATGGGTTTCTTAGAAGCAGATATCAGGTATTTAAAATACAACTTTTATTTAATAACTATTTTGCTTTCATTTTAAATAATCTTGGCATCGATTTGTTTTAATGTAGATACTTTTTGAAAAATTATTGAGTTCCTATGTTCGTCTATATGTTTGTCTATAATCTGACATTTTTGTAGTAGTGTTAATAGACATTCATATTTTTCATAAATAAAGATAAATCGAAACAAATCACACTTCATTTATTGTCATTTAAACAGCTTTTAATTTTAAAGTAACTTTACTGCTCTAACAAAATATTTAGAGTGTTATAAATTAATCTCGAGTGTTAAACAATTCGCGCGAGATTCTCTAATCGAGAATGAAAATTACACTAAAATTGAATCTTGACTAAGAAAGTTACCCCAGATTTACCAATCGAAAACGGAACTAATTTATTGACATATTAAACTATTTTTCTGTAAGCTTTTAGTGCTCTTTGACATAATGGGATTCAGTTTTGAATATATTGCAAAAATAAATCTTTTAATGGGATTGTTTTTGATTGTGGAAGAACTACATCATGACAGGAAATTATTAATTTAATTATTTGACATATTAAACTCTACTTTTTTGAAAGTATTTGGAGCTCTTTAGTTTAGTTTGGAATATATTGCAAAAAATATACTTTCTGGGCTTCTATGGGTCTGTTTTGTAAGAAGTAGATTTTAAATATAATGACCGAACTAGTTTATATATGTTTATATTATAAGCATTTTAATTCAGCAGTCTTTAAGAAAATATTCCCTGCTAACAAAAAAATGAATTATTTTTGGTTTTCTTATTCAACATAATTATTTATGGACAAATTTAACATTCAAAATTATTACTTCCCTGTAATGAAAAATAAAATATTAAAAAAACCGTTATCTCATTAAAGAAAGCCAGCAGCAGAGATAAAAAAGATTAGAAATAAGAAAATTTAATCAATTTTTTTTTCTGTGTATAATTCTGATATGAAATTTAAAAATTGCGCTGTCAACTTCATAAATTCTAGGCTTTAAAATAGATAGCTTCATCTCAATTTTTTATAGAATGTCTTCCCATAGCGCACATGCGATTTTAAGTCTAATTTTATAGATAAAAAATAGATAATAGAAAACAAATTAATATTTATGTCACGTTTGAAGAACTACAACAACAATAATAACCAACAACGCTAATAAATGTCGACAAATGATTTTTAATAATTACTTTCTATATTTAAATATATTGAATGAAATATATTCAAATATAGTGAAATAAATTGTTCTTTCAAAATATGATAAGAAAAACTAATTTTGCATTTTAGTGCAAGTAGAAAAATTCCATTTTATATCTATTTACGGTGTATTTTTTAATATTCGGCACATCCGCCTTATTTATTCATTCTAATCAGCAATTCTGTTGAATGAATATTTAATTATTTTTATTGTTTTTTGTAAATATATGGCAATTGTAAATGAGACACTAGAATTCTTAAACAAATTGTGCTTTATCATATGCAAGCGATAAGAAATGCGTATTGGAAGCTTACACGTTTACCGTGTCCATTTGCATTAGTTATTATTTAAAAAATTTCACTTTTAATTACCTTTGTATTTATTTAAATTAATATAAATAAGTTTAACACTAAAATTTTAAATTTAAAGAAATGAACGCAGGAAATATAATTCACAAAATATTTAAGTTAACTGCGCACCACGAATTCAACCTCTACCGTTAACACACAAAATTCAACTAATCAAATGATCGTGACGTAAAAGTATATGAAGTGAAAATACAATCAAAAAAAAAATATAAACAACAACAAAAGCAATGCGGCTCTGATTCAGCTGATGACAGCCACGTATTATTTATAAAACAAAAGAGAAGTGACAGTCGTTCTCTAAGTGGGAATATTATTTTGATACTAATTAGCCGCTGTAAACTATGTACCTTGATATTGTGTAGCATGAATTTCAGTGGTCAAGATATATTTTAGTTTAATTGAGTAATAATCTATATAAACTAATAGTATATAATAATTTATTAGTGGGCTAATTGGTCATTCAAATAGAAACAAAAAAAAAATTATAATTGATTATTTATATTAAAAAATAATTTATATCTTAATATATATAAATATATATAAATAAATAAATATATTTTATTAAAATATAAATAGTAATTAAGGCCATGTGCGAGTCCGAGTAAATTGATTGAAAATTGAGGAGAATAGTAAATTATGTCGGTATGACAGCGAATGTTTTTATTTACCAGAATTTCGAGTAGAGTAAATTAAATAAAAATTAGGTAAATTAGGTGTTATTATTGTAAAAATTTTATGAGATATTTAATAAATAAATAAATAAATTTGAAAACTTTTAACCAAAAATAATAAATAAGTGCAATAAATAAATAAATAAATATTTTTAAAAGTGCATATTTTTCAAGGAAATTAAAATTTCCCTTGAAAAATTTTAATTTACTCTACTTCAATTTACTCGCACACGGCCTTAATAAAAATAATAAATTATAGTTTTTTATTTCTATTTAAATAAGCAATTAGTCCGCTAGTAGCTTATTATATAATATTTTTGGTCACAAATAATAAAATTTTTTTTATACAAATAGTATGTAAACAATAATTTATTATATATTAATGGTTTTAATGTTAGCAAAATCACAATAGCTATAAGCTTTATCTATATAATTATATCAGTATATAAATTTTTGTAATACAACAAAGTTAAACATTAAAAAAATTAATTAAATTATATATAGAATCAATTACATATTACGGGTAGTGTTTGGCAATAGCATTTAAAAATTAAGAGTAATAATTTTACAAAAAATACTCATGGAATAACTCAGTTCAATGTCTAAACAGAAAATTTGTTACAGGCGATGTGGTTTGATGCTCTTTAATTAGCTAAATTATTTATTCATTAAATTATTTATTATTTATGAAATTAATTTAATAATTATTTTTGTCTTTAGTATCCTCTTTATTTACCTTCTTTGTTGTGCCGTAATCGTAACTTTTACAAAATCGAGAAGTTCACAGTAGTACAGCATTGTGTTGTAAAAACTTATACTATTGTGAATAGTTTTGACGATTGAATGAAATTTTCAAACAAAATGAAACAAAACTGTTATTTACCACGTATATATATATATCCAATGTTCAAAGTATATATTTTATGAAAATAGTAAAAAAGTTTGGACATATAATAAATCAGATAATCAAATTACAATGATACGTCGTGTGAATGGTTATTTATACTTTTTGATTTTAGATATCAGTTTAAATTTTTAACAGCTTAAATAAAATCAAAACTCACATGTGAATACAGTATTTATTCAAACTTGAACATGTATCTGCGCGGTAACGCTGAAGTAATTCGTGGAGGATCAGTAAAAGAACTTGGCAACGATACCTTACTATACATGGGCAAAATAGTTGCCCATGAATAGTTGATCACGTATCAACATTATGGAATTTAATAGTATACTACAACATGCGACCTTATTTCAAAACGGTAGACCACATGAAATCTCTGATGATGCAAATGAAGGACCTAGAAAGAAAACTGGCCACTCTGAAAGAAGGAAAATTTGGCCCCTTGCAGTATTAGTGATATTTTTCATCAAAGATTAGTAATTTTTCTTTTTTACTCGCTCCTCTTTATTATGTGTTGGCAATATACTTTAATTTTCCTATACGATTTAATTTGTTTAATGTGTTCAAGAAGTGTGTTCTAAACAATATTTTTAACCTAAAAAGAAAGCAAAGCTAAAGCTTTTCAGCTTGCGAGTTCGTATAATGTTTTCAAAACCGTAATTCTTGCATTTACGAAGACAGGTCGTTTGATTTTAGAGCCGTAATCTTTGCTGTAATTCTTGCTATTAGGAAGACAGGACGTCTGATTTCAGAGCCGTAATCTTTGCTATTAAGAAGACAGCTCGTCCGACTTCAGAAAACAGTTTACAAAATCAACATATTACAATCCCTTTTAACAGTATCCCTGTTCTTCTCGTGTTGTCTAACCACCGTATAAAAAAAATTCTAGTCAAACCAAAAAACAAATGCATCATAACTAACTTAACCTATATAATTTTTTAAAAGAAGTAAAATAAAAATGGTAGAATTGGATGTGAAAGATCCAAACTAACACTGCTAAGCCTCAATTTATTGAGAAGGACAATTCTATTAGGCAAGGCCAGAATCGAAGTAAGTATACTTCTGACGTTACTAAACGGCGATTAAAAAGCACACATCTATATCGAAATATTATGTATGTCTTGAATAAGAAATGCAGAAGCTGCAATAGAGAAGACGAAAGAAAGAACTGAGTATTTCCTTTCAAAAGTACTGAATTAGTAAGTTTGAGAGATTCAATAATAAACGTCTATAAACTAATTAGCCTTGTTTATCAAGCTCTTTAGTTTACATCCAAAATATAGATTGTCCAACTCATTATATGGATGAATAGTACGCACCCATATCGAAAAATTGTGATTGCTTTCAACCGGAAATGTAGAAGTTGGAAGAGAAAAAAGAAAAAAGCGACTGAACATTTTCCTTTTAAAAGTTGAGTCCTGGTAAGTTTCAGAGCTTCCTTAATGGAAGTCTGTAAACTTATGAGCTTTGTTTACCAAGCTCTTCATTTTTTGAATGATTCCAATTGCGCGAGCCCATCGTTTGGTGACGTATTTTAGAAAAGTTTTAGAAAAATACCCGGCTGGTTAGTCAACCTAAATATAGATATAGAATTGCACGATTCTAATTTCTAAAACACCTTATTGTTTTTTTTCTTCTTTTTAATATTGAAAACCATTATTTTTGTTTATTTTTCTAATATGTATAAATATATTTATAAACATATCTGAGTAAAGTTGAGCACAGCCGGCTGACTTGAATGGTGTGAAGGAGTTTAATTTGGTGGACCAATTTGTATGTAGCGTGATAATTTTAATGTATGACTTTATTTTTGAAAATGGTAAACATTTTGTTTTTATTTATCTATCTTCGTTTATTATTTAATAAATTTTTTAAATATATATCAAGAGTGTTTCATTTTTGACCGTACGGAAAAAATGAATTATATATTTCAGTATATGTAATCAATGTATGTATTATGGTTATACATATACGTATAGATGTTCATTTATTTATGAATATATTTATTAATCTCTTTTATTTTCAAGATGTGTGACTCAATAACTGTGACTCAATGGAAAACAAAAACTATTCAGTCTAGTTATCAGCATCTTCTTTGATGGATTGTTATTATTATAATTATTATTTTATATATTAAACACTTTAAAATCCGTAATTTAGTTTATTATTATTTTATATATTAACTGTTTATAATTTTATTATTTAAAATTAATTAATTTTAATTAGTTATTAGTAGTATATAAATTACCTCTAATTTTATTATGGTTAATTTTGTATTAAAGTAATTTCACTACACTTTAAGCTCGACTCTACGATTTCAATAATTATATTTACCAATAAAATGGTTATATGTAAATATAATTTATATTTTTTTGAACTTTATTTATAATGATTTATTTTTTATATTAATTTCTACGATATGTTTACAGTGATTCCTTGAAGCTACGCAAAAACACAGCCAGTTGACAGTATGCGAGTGGAAAAGCAACTGAATGGAATCAGTTTTCCGCAAGTGTGAACAGGAAGGACCCTTGTCAACATGTTGCTAAGAGCAGAACTGACACCGCCCATATCAGCCACAAATCCTGCGCACTCTGTGCTTAAGGGATTCATAATATATTTATGGAAAACCTTTTTGACCAATAATTGAAAAATTAATATCTCAAGTAAATTGCATTGAATAAATTCTATGCTTTGTGTATATCGACATTATACGAGTACGAAAATGCAGGTGCGATTAAAGAGCGCTTTTAAATTATTCCATATTCGGGTGTAGTAAATATTTTTGAATATATTAATTTTTATATATGATTGTGGAGTTATAAAACAGAATTAAAGTATTTGTTAATATAACTAATATGTATTGACTGGTTTTTGAAAATTCATTGAAATAATGGTGCAATTTTTAAATACGGGCCATATGAGAATAATCCAGAAAAAACTGGATTATGTAGATCGATTATGTTGACCTTATATTTTATTTAATATTTGAAATGTAGTTCAAATAGGTTGATTACTTTTGCATTAAATTTCATAGATTTTAAATGATTGTATAACAGCGTATCTTTCCATAGTAATTTGTCAAACAAAACTGAAAATAATATTGTAATGATTTGATTACCCTGTACATTCAAAATCAGTGACAAATGTTTATTTATTTTTTAGCATTTTTTTAGAATAATACAAAAATAATGTTCAGTAAAAGTTAACCCAGGCTTGCTTTTAAAACCCAGAAATTTACTTGTGGGTGTTAGGGTTTACTTAATATGGATCCCAGGGCACAGCGAATTTGAGACGAAAACGAAAACGAAAAAGCAGATGATCTAGCCAGAAAAGGAGCGATCTCAAAATATATTGCACCACAAGCATTCTGCGGTCCTTCATGCAGCTCTTTCAAACTTAAAATTAATGAGTGGCTGGAAAGAGCAGCTCATGATTGGGATAATACAATTGCCTGCAGACAAGCTAAACAATACATACCTATCAAAGCCTATCTATACCTAACTATCAAAAGCCAAAACTAGGGGGCTACTTATGCTGAACAGAATTGACATTCGACTTGTCACAGGGCTTCTCACTGGACATTGCGGAGTTAAAAAGCATCTATCGAATTTAGGTATTACTAGAGACGATAGCTGCGAAGAACAGGAAACAGCAGAACAGATTTTGTGTCACTGTGATAGTCTCGCCAGACTATCATGGGTTAAAATGTATGATATATTATGATATATCATACATTTTTTAACCCATGATATATTTTATCATGGGTTAAAATGTATTACATTGCGCAAAATAGAGAGTGTTACACAGACTTTGTTCGTACTCTAGCTAGAGGAAAAATGAACTATATATTTTTCATTTCCTCTGTGTATGGCTTGGTGTCTGGCGACGTAGGATAGCTACATAAGATAAATCCCTTGGACTGAATTCAACCGTTTTGTTAACACAAACAACCAAATAATTAGTTGGTAACGATAATGCGGTAATCAAACGATGTGAAAGCGCTAATTGGGCTTACGGTTTAAGTCACCAAATAAACCATTCCACCAGGCACCAATTACGAACGCCAATGCATATATCATTGTCCATAAAAAAATAAGTTTTTCAATATTTTATTGTATTTAAAAATAAATCAACTAGGAACTAATAATAATAATATCATATATATTTTATAGTTTAAAAAAAATTCAGAATGATAACAGTTTCCTAGATGCCACGATTTCACGACGGATTCTGGTAAAACTGTTTCTTCTGAGTATTTTTTTTTTCGTCGAAATATGCTAATATAACTTGGTTCTTGAGATGTCGGGCTGAATGTTATAATTTTTTTTATGAAAAAAACAATAACAACTAGATGCACCATTTGGAGAAGCCAGATTATCTGTATAATCAATGCAAAAGTTTGATATGCTCTAATAGTTGAAGATAAAAATTTTGAAGGCCTAGTTATTATCAATCATGTGTGTATTCAATGCAAAAAAATTATATTATATATTCGGTTTGCCTGTAGATGACTCTGTTATGCATATAAACATTTCTAACTTGAAAACCTGATATATTAAGAATCAGGCTATATCAACAGTTTTGCTGTATAATCGATGTGAGAATTTTTAAGTTATATCTATATATATATGGGAATTGTCATCATATCTTTGGGTGTAAGAAACTGCAATAGTTCCGAGAATATTTAAAATTAATTTAAATGTGTAGTTAAATATGTTCCACTGTATATATGAGCAAAAAAAGTAAGAGTCAATGGACTTAACTACCAGACTGATGCAATAAGTATTTATTTGTATTTGCGTAACATAGTTATATTATTTTCTATGGAAAAATAGCAATGTTAAATACTTTTTTCAAGATAAACTATGTTGCAGTTGATAATGGGTCAAATTCTTACAGAAAGTAATTAAATAAAATATAAGAAAACAATGGCGTAGTCACAATCGATTTAGCCAAGCTCTGTGGTCGAATTCTTCTATGGGTACAGTTTTAATTTTTGTTTTAATTTTGGATTTATTTTTATTTTTAATATTAATTTCTCATTTGTTAAAATTAAATTAAAAAATAATAAATTCACTTTTTAGCTAACTTTGATTTTTATTATTAGATGTATATAAAATCAAGCATTATAATAAAAAGTATGACCACATATTCTTAATAACAACTTTAAAATTCCAAAACTATCAAATACCAGAATAAATAATTTCACGGGATAATAAAATTATTATCAATTATGAAATTAATCTGTTCACTTTACTTACGCATGTAGTTAGTGCTACAATCAGCTTGAATATATAGATTTCAAGTGCCAAAGTGTCAGCTAACTGACACGTTAAAATAATCAGGAAATGCATGGAATAGAAAAAATTCAAATAGTAACATTATTATGACATCGAGAAAATATAAATATATTCTATAAATATAAAAAGAGAGTAAATGAAGAGTAATAAATATATTTCTAATCATTACTCTTTATTTTCTATAGGTCTGCTTTGATATCACGAGTAGGATACCGTTCATACGCGATTAATGTGATTCCGTCCAGACTTAAAGAATCATCTTAAATGTAAAATTCACAAACATCTAGTGCACGAACAGTGTCTCTTTCAGGAAGTATGCTTACCCAAGTTAAGTAAAAAGGAACCAACCTAACAAATCTATGAATTTGGCGAAGTCTCCTATTAGCCAATGATAGGCATCGATATATGAAATGGAATACTACAATAACATAGTACTGAGTTGGTCCCGGTTTGGTTGAAACATCTGACTGTTTTGAATTTTGTACATATGGAGCAGGTATTTCTAACATTAAGCCCTAGGAATTTATGCTTAATTGCCAGTTTAACCGTTGCAAGAGGTATGCTAACACTAGGGCAGTGAATATCGCATCGTACCTGTTAACAAATTCGTCGGCTTTATAGTTTCTCAAGATGTTTTTGTGTCAAGGACCCAATATGAGTTGGACATCGTGGAGAGTAGACAACCCATTGCGAGAAGTACAGAAATCTCGAATCAAAAGAGAAGCTATTGTAATCTACAAGTTACCGCATACCAGAAAAATAATTTATGTGTTTTAAAAAGATTGGTATATTATTTAATGTATTTAATGTATTTTGTTCTAACCGGTAAAAATATCTTCTCAAAAAATAATATCATTTTATTGGGGGAAATATAATGGTTTAAAGGCGATTGGCGTTAATAGTGCGGACTTGTGGTTGAGAAACGTTGTTGTATATGACAGATCCAGAATGTGTTATATATTTTAGAATATAGCGAGTACATAACTCGTTACATAGCATATGTAGAATAAAATTATACATTCTATGTATTTGTCATTGACAGAATTTGATCGTTTGTTGAATTTATTTGGGTACGAGTATATTAAAAGTCTCTTGTATCTATACCTTCATATGGGTATTTATATATATATATATATCACCTATAATGTTAATAAGATAAACAACTTTAGTTTCTCTATATTATATTTTATAAAAAATATATTTACAATTATTTAACAATTGTTTTAGTATATAATACTTTTCAGTAGTTCTAACCTTTAGTTATATCATTGCTTTTGCAAGAAAAAAAAAACAATTATTTCTAGTCTGTAGAGAATTTTTTGGAAAAAGTAGGAGTCGTCAATTAAAGGTCAATAAAAAACTGCTTTTATTTTCATAACAAAATTGTAATGAATAAATCATTTAACACAGTTTTAAGCTTATTTCAATGAATTTTTGGTACCGAGCAGGTTTCGGTGACGCGAATATTAGAGTAAAAAAGAAACTTAATTAAGTGCTTAATAATGAGGTTCGATAAAGTGGGTATGTGTCCGAAAGTCACTAAATTATAACTTAATCATTGCTTTGTATCATTGGTCAGATTATGTCATTTAGCAATTTAAGTACGTACATATGTCTAGAACTCTATATATAAAGAGTATTTGTATGTATAAAAATTGATTCGTGTAAACATCGTGTAAATATCTGTATGTATATAGATGCATATACATATGTTTGTACCATATATCTAACAACATAATGAAATTGAAATTTTAACTATTTTGTTTAATTATAAACAAAATAAATTATAATTTTTCTATTCGTGCATTACAAATCACCGGCAACAACTTCAAGTTTGACATCTTAGTCTGTAGAGTAGGGAAGGGTTTTTGTATTCGCGTTAGAGTTTCCAAGAATTGTGATAACTTCTCTAGCAAAATATTGTGACTTAGTAATCTAATAGGGTTTTACCGTATGTACTCTACAACTGAATTGTAAAATGCTTAACGTATTTACACAAAAAGGTTATTGTATTAAGAATTGAATTCGTACTAAAAATAATATAAAATTATGAAAAGAGAAACTTCTGAAACTTTAGAACAACCGGTTTCTCTGCTCTTTCTTTTAACGATAATGAATCTATTTTCAATAGACAACAACATCTACAATAAAAAATAAATATACATTTTTGATTGGTACGTAGATAAATAAGATACGTAGATACATATATATGTGTTGACAGGTTAGCTTCATAGCGAAATCAGTTACATTATTCATACATAATATTTAAGATTATATCAGTTGCTCATATGAGTATACAATGTTTATTATAAAGTATTGAGATCGTCTATGGACAACTACATGCATCGGTAAAGTCTATCTTTCACTGATTTGCCATCAACATTGCATGGCAATTAGATGAACAGAAGCGGAGTTATGGTGTTATCATAAATTAATATTTTAAAATAGACTGTTTAGTTTAGACA